CAAAGTAATGAAAATACCTAGGCATATTCCCTACTCTGCAGATGTATGATTGAACTGCCAATATTAAACCATTTTCAGCAAGTGTATTCCCTATTTATTTCTTGAGTTCATTAGTTTTAGTACTCTTCTTCTCCTCCAGGAAGACTAATATCTAATTTTCTTTATTCTAAATTCCCAGTCTTTGTTCTCCCTACCTATCTACCTGGAAACAAGTCAAGCAGACTAGTTACTAAAGCCAAAGCCAAACAGGTGGAATGAGTGCCAAGGTTCTGTGTTCTCCTGGCAACCTACTCACTTTCCTACTGGCCCAAAAGGTAATAAAATAACTTCCTAGTTCCCCCAAAACTAGATTCTCTGCATGACAGTGCATTGCATTGCCACTAAACTGGCCATAGTGGATGTTCTTACAGGAAACAGGTAACTAACAAGATACAAAGAATTATAAATGAATTTGGTAAAAATGTTTCTAACATTTTTCTCAATGGTATATTAACTAGAATCCTACTTTCCTTCCACAAAAAAATAGATTTTTTATAAATACATTTTAATACAGGCAATTCTGATTCTACGCAAAAAAGTCAATGTCACATTCAAACAGGTATTCTCAGTGTAGCATTAAGATAAAAGCAGACATCACAGTAGGCATCAACACAGTGTTTCTTGGGAGGCAGTTTACAAAGTCTCGTGAACAGATACATAAACACACACTTTCAGCCACTTAATCAGACTATCCTGTGATGTAGAAAGTAACCGAGCTGCACTTGAGGCCTGGAGTATCACACTCGTGAAATATATTTCCATGTTAAGAAAATGTTATGATCTGTCAATTAGATTTAATATCTGAGTAGTATTAAACATTTGTGTAAACTTAGCTAGTGTTAAGAAGCAAACTGCTAACAAGCGATTTTGAAATTCATCAGAAAAACTAAACTTATCACAGCCTTAAAAATCTTGGTTCCAACCAGCTGAAATTAACTCTCAGTTTTCTCTCCTCTCTTTTTTCCCCAAGGGTAACTTCTAGCACTCGAGTCAATCTATGCCATCAGCTTTGGACCATACGAATAGAGCTTTGTGCACATAGGCTTCTCTCATCATTTGTGCAATACAAGTGTAGTTCTAGCTGCTTTGCTTTTTGTAAGGGATAAAAGTCATCTCTGCAATTTCATTCATACACAGATCTAATTAAAATTCAGCTGTCGATAGTATTTTTTTCCTCCTAGAGGTTGTGAATATTTAACAGATTGGCTTTATAATACATATTATGTATGAAATTTTGATATTAGCATTCTATTAAATAACCCCCAAATAACCTTTCCTTGAAGAAGCATTCCCTTTAGTTTTGTCACAAAGATTGAATTCTAGGTTTTATGGGTGAACATGCATTTCTCAGCACACTTTGATAGTCTCTTTGCATCAAAAATCATGGACTTGGCAGCCCACAATGTGTTTCATACACAGACAGCCACTAGCTGCACATCTGACACTCCCACACAAGTATCTGAGATGCAACTCGAAGGACAGAGGAGGCAAACAGAGCTATTTTACTGACCTGCTCATAAAACAAAGACATAGAAATTGTGAGCAAGAACTAAATTCCAGCACCTGGTTTTCAAAATACTTTAAAAAAATACTTTAAAAAAGGAGAGAGAAATCCTCCTGAGTCTGGGAGAGTGGATTATTCCATAATTACATAAGTGTCATCACGAAACGAACACATTCACAGAAACTTTTTTGGTTTTAGTCACTGATCTGAGATCAAAGTTTCTTAAATTTAAACCATACTTAACTTGGTGTGTTAATCTTGAAAATAAATTCTACTTCTGCTCCTAAAGTTTGTGAATTCTTAGACCATGCAGCATGTAGTTAACCACAAGTATTTTCCTATTACCTTTCTTAAGGAATCCTGAAGGCTAAAGGAACTTTAGACAGAGAAAGGAAAAGAATTTGTTATGTTGAGTTACAATTATGGCAATATCAGTACATGCAGAGACTTGGCTTCCTTTTCCAAAATTAATCCAGTTTGTAAAGCATACACATAATTATGTCTTCTGATGGGAAACACCTAGTCATTGTTAGCAGACAATTTTGCTTAGCTTTTTGATGTTTTCTTTTGCTTTTAGAAAGTCAGATCCCAAATTTGCAGATGAACTTATTAAAACAGCTTTATGGTTATAGTGATGATTTAAATTTTTTTAAGAGAACAAAGAAAAAATCCCAAGAAAAAGAGATTTTTAGAGACAGAGTTTGGTGATAATTTAGGGAAGCTTGCAAAGTAAGCTCAGTAGAGATTAATATTCAAAACACAAAATTAGAGCTAGCCAGCAAGACCAAATGTTTGCTTAAGATTTGACTTTCAATTAGTTCAAAATAAGAAACAGCTGCCAATTTAAGGAGAAACTATGAATCTGATTTTACAACTGAACTGAGAGCTTTCTGCTCCCTTTCAGATAATGAAAGTTGAAGTTTCTCAGTGCCCTACATTATATAGTCCTAAAAAAAAAAACAAAATTCCTCACCCTGAAAGCCTAAAATATTTTGAGATTTATTTTACTAAAAATGCCCAACTTTATTTTCTTGCTTTAGAGTAATTCAAATTACAGAAGACAAATTCACTCTGTAAAATATTTTATATATTTTACTAGATTTTCTAATAGCCTGAAATTGTAACCCATCGAATCTGAATTATCAGAACAGTTAGCAGAATTCATGATGGAGATCAATAGTTGATAGTTCATTCACTTTTATACTTAACCCCAAGCCCACCATAGAATGCAGAGTGTTAGAAAATCCATTCCGCAACATACTATAATTCCGAGAAACAAGGATAATTTTCTCCAGGTTCTTCTAAGTTTTTGTAGGGATACACCTCCCTTTCAAGTTTTGGTTGATTATAGTAATATATTTTTATGGTTTGGGGGTTTTGTTTTGTTTTTAAAATCTACAGTCTTAAAAAGAGGTAGTATAAAAAAGGAGCAGAACACGACTATTTCAGCAAACAATATTCACATACAGAGAGGATACTCGATATGATAACCCAAGACTGACAAGAGTCTGCATAGAAGTTTAATCACCACTCTCCCAGAAATATTTGGAGATGATACAGCCATTTGAAATGTATGACTGGCCGTTCTGGGCAAGCACTATTGCTGAAGTCCCTTAAAACTCTTATGCACAGACATGATTAATATGAATAACGGATAAGATCTGAAAGATACTAACTGAAAACTGTATAGGGTGCTACTTAAAAATATACACACCCTCTTCTGCCTCCAGATCAATACATTTTCTCCTTCAAGAGTTAGTCAGAATTCATAAATGTTTGAATCTGCATTTTTTTAATATAAAGATAGTTTAAAAGCCATGACGCAAAAGCCTGGGGGAGGGTAGACTTTCTGTAGACTATTTTCACCTTTAGAAATTATTGTGCTACAAAACTTTTTGAACAGTAGCTCAAAGCATTATAAAAATAATGAGGAAATTCTCTGTAGCTCTCAAACAGGTAAGTCAACCATATACTAATTTTATGGTTTAATATACTACAGACAAAAAAAAAATCTGTGATAAATACAAGTCTCATCATGATAATAATTACTGCAAGATACCAGTTGTGCAAAATCAGTGAACTCCACACACTTTCTTAGCTATTGATCTTAAATCATTCTGTGCTGTACCTTAAAGTCACTATATTTTCTATAGAAAACTGAATCAACTTTCAGAAGTAAAGCAAGCCAAGCAAATGGCAACACATTTAACAGTAATCACAACCCCAGTAATAGCACAAGACCTCTCTGCTCTTGGGTAGATTATTAGACGGGCTACACGTGGAACCATTTGTAGTTTAGCAGTTGGACTTAGGCTGTTGCTGGAAGATGTTAATCACAACTGGAAATGGTATTTTATAAAAAATACTACAATCACACCTATTTGAGGAAAACACATAATGTTCCACTGAAACTCACAGAATTAGACATGGAGACATCAAGTATTTATAGAAATATCTACAAACTGCAACTGCCAATTATTAAGAGTATCAGTGAACGGATTGCTAGAGTAAGGGTTTCATGACAACAGGCTACTTGCTACTTAGGCAAAATAAAAGATGAAAGTTCTCAGCTCTCAACCTTCTCAGCTCTTTGTTTTACTTTGTTTTACCTAAACTAATTTATTCTTTTCATGTTGCTACTTCTTTGCATTTATACTCTTCTACAAAGAAGCAATTCTCAGAAACTTATGCAAAAATATTCTTACAGAGAGAAGAGCTATTGATAAATCTGTATTGTGCCTTAAAGTCTTGCATCATCAGACTCTCTGTTTCACAAGTATTAATTATCAACTGCAGGACTTTTTTTTTTTTAAAAAAAAAAAAGGTGGGGGGGAAACACTATCAAAATATTCTTCCAATTCAGATACAAACACAAAATCGGAAATTCCACACACTGGTTGCCTTACACAAATGAAAGTGTTGCTCTAACAAGCAATGCTGCAGCCCTTGTCCTGGTATTGAGCAGAGGGGAAAAAAAGGAAAAAAAGGACATAGAAAACTCAACCATGAATAGGCTGAATGTTAACTATGTAATAATATCAGCCTAACATAAAACCCTTCATTTTTTCCTGATTATTCTGCATTTTAATTGCACAAACTTCAGTAATTTGAGAATGCTTATGACGGTCTGTAGACCCTCAATGCTATTTTGTCTGCACCTGAAATGTAAAAGGACAGTGCCTGACTACAAACAGGCCTGTCATTGAACGACTCATCTTCACTGCAAGTTCTATTGTTTCCAAGGTTTAAAAGCATATTATGTAGAAGGAAAAAAAAGGTATGAGATACCTATTTAGAGAAATAATCTAAGGATGAAGCTTTTGCTTTTTTAAGGTGTTACACTGAACATTTTTAACTGAATGTAAAAGTTAAACTGACCATGCCCTTCGAAGCATCCACAGACAGAAACAAATAGACACAACTCTGCGTCTGCATCCATCCACTCACACGGTCTCTCAGAAAGCCCCCATGTCCTAAAAGATGCTTGAGGACAGGAACACAAATCCACAGAATTAGGGCAAAATTCCCCAAGTCCCACAAGGCCATTTCCAGAGCTGACACTTAAAGAACTTGGGACTGTGGTATCCAAAGATCATTTAGTGTCGTAGAACTGCTTAAACTTCTGGAGAACTGGGTCTGCTTCAAAGCTCAGCAAAGATGAGACTGGCCAATTTAGTCATGAAACTCCTACTGTGGCAAAGAGTCCTTGGTGTGTGGATCCTTGTGCAGTTGACGTTGCAGGCAACTGAACTGAAGGTGTTGTTATCCCTGACAGCTTCTATAGGAAAGGGAAGGCCAGCGGAGGCTGGTTGTCCATCCTGTGCTCAAGGTCCTCCACTGTAGGAATAATCTGCCTTGTTGTGCATCACCAGCTTGTTGTCTACAAAGTAGAAACTGTCCGACTGTGTCTCATATGGATGAAGGATCATCTCTCGAACTGCAGGTGACAAAACAAATTAGTCATGTTGTGCACTAGCCAGACTGTAGCAACACTCAGTGCTGACTATTCTTGCAGACTGGGCCTCAGCTGTGTTAAACAGCATTGCTCAAATAGCAACAAACTCTAAAATAAAACAAAAAAAAACAGGAGCCTACCCACACCATTTTTTAAAGTAACATTTAAAGAACACAAACAGAATCCAAATAACATGTTAAGGCATCACACAAACAGTAAGTGCTAGCTCTCCTCCAAACAACATTGAATTAGTTTTAAGGTAACAGAAGACTGACTCAAAACAAGCAAGCAGGCAAAGCACATCACTGTATTTTACATATTATCTGTAATATTAGTACAGAGATACATGATTAAGGGCTATATGGAATATGAGGGCACAGAGATGCGGCACTGATGCCGTTATATCTTGGGAGAGGGGAGAGAAAAGAGAAGGTACGTTCCTACTAAAACAGAAACCTCTCAAGCTACCCATGTAGCACATCACACATGCAAGTAGAACATAAGGCTTAAGTTACCTCTTTAACAGGACATCTTTCCAGTCCTGTTTTTTTTTTTTTTTTACTTATTTATAACACTTTTTTTTTTCTACCTGACATTGAAGCTTCCTTTTTATGAGTAAAAAGAGCAACCATCTGCTGGTGACAGGATACGTGCTACTAGAAGACAAGAGCTGTACTGAACAAGATGCAAAACTACTAGGATGTATTTTTCCATACCCATTTTCTATAGATAGCTCATTGGATAGGGCTTCCCCAAAACAACTTGGACTAGCATCACTATTTGGTCACCTAATAACTGAAAAGAGCTTACTGAGGTCCTCCGAGAGCTGTGGGAATTCGTAGATGTGCTCACAGGTATTTTTACTGCTGGGGATGCAGAACCCGAACTCAAAATCAAAACTCTTCAGCAGCTGATCCCGGAAATAATGCCTCTCGATCATGCGGAAGTTGTTAATGGGTTTGTCCCCTACCGTGAATTCCACCCTGAGGAGGAAGGATAAGATTGAAATGAGTTTTCCTCAATAAGCAAGACTTCCAGACACTGTTACCAGGTAGAAAAAAAAAAAAACTGCTTCAAAAAGAAAAACAAATCAATAATACTAATCAAAATCTTTTTTTTTTTTCAAATATGCTACAGGGATACAACATAGCATCACAAATCATAGCTAATACTATAGCTCATACTGTATTTTATACATTTTTTCCTCCATAAAAATGATATGCAAGACAATTGTACAAACTTAAAATGATCTTGAGAAAAAAATGAAAATTCCTCCAGCTATACTGGAAAAGCACTGCACTAGATCATTCTGCATTATTGTTCAAGCTATTTTAATTCTCCCAACTGGTATTGGAAGGACAGATCTACAGAAAAACTCTCTCTCTTTGTTCCCTATTTTGTAGATGGTAAAAGAGGGCACGTTTCAACCAAGACTGTGCTCAAGTTTCTCTTGCCAAGAGGCCTATTTCAATAAAATAGTGGCCAAAGTGATGCTAACAGATACAGGTCTTTAACCTTTCTTCTAAAACAGAGTCTAAATGGTGCAATACTGTTTCAAGATTAGCAGGAAGCTGTAATGTGCTTCTGAAGGGTTCTATCAAAATGCAAAAATAATTTGAATCCAAACTAATGATTTTTATATACTTGAAAAATAATTTTTAAAAATGCACTGGAACAGTAAGTGATGCTCAATTATACTATTACAGTCTTAATGCCATAATAGCAATGGACATAAAGCTCTTAATTAGATCTACTAATTTAAACTTAAGTGAATGTCAAAGAAAAACTTAGATAACAATGGCTCTGCAATAGTGCGAACCAATATACTTCTAAAATCTTCAATAAAGGGGGAAGGACCCACCAGGCAACTCTTCAGGAGGGCAGGAGAGAGGGAAAGAAAAATTTCCACAGTTAAATAGTGTGCATGCAAACAAAATCCCTACTAACTTACGCTAAATGAAAAATAGACCCTGTCATTTATATTACAGTAGCAATATCTTTGGCCCAAAGCTTTCCAGAAAAATTGGCAGGGTTTATTGTTGTATGTATGACCTCAAAGAGCATTCTGGTACAGAAAGTGTCAAACACAACTTCACTGTTTCACTTCTATTTTTGGCTTAGTGTCTTTGGGGAAAGTGATGTGGAAGGCTGCAGAAACCTGTTCCAAAAGGGGCAGAGCCTCTGTCAAACAAACCATAATTTGCAGAGAAGTATTGGGAGTATCTGGGCACTTTGTCCACTTCACACGACTCCTTTTAGCAGGAATTTCTTCAGCCCAAGGACTGCTCTTAGGGTAAAAAAAACAAGCTAAAGGAATGGGGAATGCGAGGCAACCAGCCAAGATATTTGGAGCTCCTCATAATAAAAAGAGATCTTGACTAGACCAACTTAAGATCAAAACTGACAGGAACAGTATGAGCTGCTTATGTTTTATAAGACCTCAGAAGGTCTCTGCACAAGAAATAGTAGCACAAGTGCAATTACTTACGTGGCTCCCACTTGCCGCAGTCTCAGAAAAGCTGGGGTAAATTGGTAACGTACAAAGCGCCCGGCATTGGGGTCGATGTCCTTCTTGTCATTGTGCTCACGTTCTGCAAAAGTGCAAAGAAAAGCTCCGTCACTGTTGTCTGAGAACAGAAAGATGGGGAAAATCCTGGAGTAACAGAGATCTCCTCCCCAGCCTCACGCCCTCGGTGGAGCCCATGGTGGAGCCCATGCAAGAATGAGGCCAAATGACCAACATGTAGCATGTTGGGCACCAGAAAGACCTTTTCCACCTTCTTCGGCTCACAGTGGGCAAGGATACCTAATCCATCCTCAAATCCCCGCTGGACACAGCAAACAAACTGCAGCAAGAAATACCTGGTTGCTGAGAAAATACATGGTTTGCACCTCAGAAGTAAGCGGTGAGCTCAGCTTCAGCAGCAAAGTTTTGCTGTCTTTTTAAGTACTCCAGCCTGCTCATTTCTATTGATTTGGCAGTGTTGGAAATTGGTTCCCCAGGAAAAAAAGAACCAGGGCTCCGTTCTGGCAGAACACGGGAGAAACAAAGAGCTCTCTGTAAAGAAACTGGGCAAGCAGCAAACGGTGGTGTATTTTTAACCATGAAAAGGTATGTTATGAGCAAAAAAAAAAGCAGCGATCAAAGTTTGAGGGTTCCTCACCAAAATGAAGGACACACAAAATACCATGAACTCTCCATTAGGGTTTCTATTTCTGATTTTCTTTGCTGTTAAGTATGGCCACGTGCAGTGACCTCATTCCACTCTGTTCTTTCACAGCTTTATAAACTGAGTTCACAAAAATGACTGTTGGCCACAACGTGGTTCCCACAAGCATTTCACAGTCACTATGGTAGAAGGGGGGAAAAAGGCAAAAAAAAATGTAAAGAACAAACTTTTAAAATTTTCAGCAAGACGATTTACTCCAAACATGCTTTCTTTAAAGAAACATGGAGCAAGCCACCCATTTATTATGTGCCTTACAAAGCTCCCTTTGGATTTTGCTCACAGATTTTAAATGAGGACAGAGATCTGGCTTTTGAGACAACAGGTATCGGGAGCTTTACTGCTACCCCTGACTGTTCTTCTAGTGTGAGAATTAGCCAACACTTGACAAAACTAGATGGCAAAAGAGCCAAAGCAAAACCACAGCATGTGACTAAGCTGGGAAATTCCTTGCTATAGGACATTGAGGTCTATTAAATACAAAGACATCATGTGCAGCAAAGGAGCTCTTGGAACCCTATACTGCTGAACGAAGGCCAGGACACTCTTCTGAGTGAGGACGAGGGGTGATAGACTCTACAACATCCACTGATGATCACTCATACACAGAGCATTTGTAGAACGGTCCTTTGGCTTGAGCCACTTCTGAGCTCTGGAGTGACTCCATGCAGACCTGCAGCCTCTGAGCACACCTCTTGGTTGCTATCTTCAAGCTATGGAAAAATTCCTTTCACATGCAAGGGATGGGGAAGATTTGAAAGTGCATCCAATGCAGAAAAGAATAGTGGCTCTGAGGTTTTACTATCCCCTGGCAATAGATAACACCTCGATGGTTACAAGTAACACCTAAAAAATTACAGAAAAACGAAGCATGTTTTCGGGTTGTCTCCTTTGCACAACTCACATATGGTTTCTGTCTGAGTGATGCCTGTTTTCCTGACTCCTGAAAAAAAGGTGTTAGCTTGACAGCTAAGCTATGTACGAGGGGCTCTCCCTGCACCAACACATTCTGACTTCTTCCTTCTCATCGTCTTCTATTTACAACATCCATCTGTCCTTTCTAAGCACAGATGGCCATGGCAGGAACTCAGCAACAGCGTTATCTGCTCGTGTCAGTACAACGGGACACCTGAACAGTGTCTTCTGCTGCAGCTGGGGCTCTCGCCTCTAGTTTCTCCTAGTTTGGAGAAACCTGTGGAGTGAACAGAGTGTGAAAAGGAATCCCAGCACGGATTTGTCAGTGACAGCAGTGTTTGGTGCGTGCGCTCACCTGAAGCTGGTGGTTTGGTGATTTCAAACAGCACCGTGCCAGACTCCATGTCCCGGATTTTGAACCTGGTGAAGTCTATCTTGTAAACATTTTCCTCTGGAGTGCACAAATAATCTGCAGAGGAAAGGGCAAGGTTGAATGAAGGATGCTCAGAAACACCCTGTATTTCTGGCTACTGTGCCTTGGCACCCCAAGGTCATCACCCGGGCCAGCACCGAGCGGGCCCGTTTTCCCGCGGGGCATTGGGAAGAGGCAGGATCTCCACCAAATCCCAGCCTTTGCCGGGTAAGAGGCTTTGCCCGCTTTGAAGACTGCCCTGAGGCAGAACGCGAGCGCTAAGCGGCTTTGCGGGCACTAAGCCGCCCGCGTCACGGGGACGGGAGCGTCCTCCGGCCCGCGCCGCCTCCGCCGCCCCAGCCGCACAGCTCGCCGCGCCCGCGGCCCCAGCCAGGGAGCGGCTCGTCAGCCCCAAAAATGGGGTTGGAACCTCTCCCCGTGCTAGCGAACGGCCTGGGAACAGAGCCCTTCCCGGACGTGCCAACCAGTGCCCGGCCGGGATCGCAGACTCCTCTGTGGGAAGGGGGCTCGGGGTGCCCATGGATGGAAAGAGCTCCAATAACTCCCTTTATCCAGAGAAATCTAACTGAACGGGTATGCGTAAAAGCTAGGTTAGCTTTCCAACGTAGCTGCATTTTTTCCAAGAGACTTGGGTTACAATTATTAGGCAAGGTGAAAATAATACGTCAAAATCGTAACTCTAAGCCCTCTCCCAACCACTGATTCCTGACATAAGTCCAAGTTATTCACTTATTGCAATTCTTATTGCGAAAATCTAGGTGTATCCATCCACCTGGCACTGGAGGAAGCCACTGCTTCACCCCTGGGTTTCTGAGCCGCCGGGCAGGCGATGCCGCGGGCCAAGCACCGACACAGGGTTGTCCGACGGTTAATTATTAAGTGTTTTCCTCCGGCAGAATTCCTGCCCGGCCAGCGCCATGGCAACGGTCTCATCCCCTCCGTTGCTGCAGTAACGGTGCCCGTGACTCATCCAGAGGAGAGGAGCACAGAGCAGAGCCACCGGAAAGGGAGCAAACCCGGGCACGATCCTCGCCACGCTCCTGATTCCAGACCCCGAGGCCCCGCACGCTATTTCTTTTCCTGCTTTTTCTGCTTTTTCAAACCGTGTTTGAAACCTATATTTTTAGCATGGTGCCAGGATCCCACCGGGTGGCTTTGGGGAAGCTTTGCAGCCAGAGGGAAAATACTGCAGCGGAGTTTGTCCTTCCTCTTCTCGCAGGAAATAAGGGCAGCGAGGCCTCTCGCTCGGTGTTAAAAACCTGCCTGCTGCCATTCCTGTGCAAAATAATAAAACGAATCAACTCAAGGAACCACGCGGGGCTGCTCCCACACCTGTGGCTACGCTGGGGGGTCCTTTCCACAACGGTGATGGGGAGCAAACTCCTCCGCCACGATCCCCACGTGAGACATTCCCTCTGTCCAGCCCAACCCTGCTCGGGAAGCGCCTGGATGCAGAGCTCGCTGCTGCAGGGTGCGGGAGGCAGCCGAGGCCATGGACTTCCTGAGCCAGAAACAATAGGTTTTGTCACAAATTCTCCCTTTGTATGAAAAAGCGCTTAAAAAAAGAGTGAGCAAGCAGCAAACCGTGGCACGTGTTTGGAGCCGCACGCTCCGGAGCTGGCGCTGCCGAGGGACACAAAAGGCCGGGATCATCCAATGCATGTCCCCGCACGGACAGCGGGCGCTGGCACTTTCTCCTGCCCTCTCCCTGCTATTCGGATGATCCAACGGACCAGATTAGGCGTCCGATTGCAGCCACGGGGAGCTGAATGTCCATACTGTATTTTCCGAGTCCCTTTGCATCCGCACCAGCAGGCGCATGACGGAGAGGAGGCACCGCTGGGACACCGAGTTTGGGGCTGCTCATCCCTCTGGGCCTCCGCTCCTCTCTGCCACCTCCTGTCACCCCCAAACATCAGCTATTTCTGGGGTGCTCATTAAAGCTTCCAAACCCAGATGGGGCAGCTCCTATTTTGAACCTTTAATGGCCCAGGGAGGAAAACTGAGAGGCTAACGGAGAGCTCAAAACCCAATGGTGAAAATGGCCCTAGACCGGGTGGATGTGGCAGCAG